ATTGATCCATCAATACGTGATATGTATGTGATTTGTATTATATATGAGTTTTGGTGCCAATAAATAGATTATTTCAATGCATTTGCCATCAGTTGACCAACACTTTGATTTATATATCAGGCAAATAAAGCATTCATTCATTCATTAACTAAATTGTAAACATTTGCAGAAGTTTTAAATACAATATTTATTTTTACTTCAATTTAGACAAATTCTGAGTAATTAATATTAATCATGTCTTAAACGGATAACTAATTTCACGAAAAAGTTTTAATTAAGTTTAATAATGATTTCCGTTGGAAAATACAGTAATTGTCGTCTAATTCCTAAAGATTTAGACAACAAAATAAAGAGAGAAAACATTAACCAAATCTATTAGCATTAAAATCTAAAAATATAAATCTTATATTAAATAATAGATAATGAAATAATTGTTTCAAAAAATCAAATGATTTCAAGTCAAGCTACTTGACCATAAACTATTTTTAAAAAATATAGCATAATATCTTATAATTTTTTAATTAATTATCTAACTCTTATATTCTCTAATTATTAGCGGCTATTAGAGAGTCAATGCGTGAAATAACATTTGACTCAATCAAATATAACACATTGTGTGACACTTTTTAGAGATTTTTAATTTTAAAAGTAAAAGTATTTACGGGCTATAAATAAGTAATTAATGTCTACAGTAGTGATTAAGTATTGCAGTGTAATACTTACACCCATAATATTAATTTTGATAATTTATTATTATAAATATTTGTATATTATTTATTTAAACGATTCAAATAACCATTTAAATAAATATCATAAGAATTTCCTGTAAAAGTTTTAAAATATTTTTTATTAAAAATTCAAATAATTTTTTGTTTATATATTTTACTAAACTTTTTACGAGTTTTGTACTCTAATGATGACATTTCTCTTATGATTTAGTGTTTATATCTTAACGATATCTATAAGTTATGCCCAAAAGGAAGCAATTTGTTTCAAGAATAAGCAAATTATTTAAAAATCAAAATGTTTTTTCTATTTGTAGACATTATTTTAATACAGTAAATGCCTAATATTTTAATACAAGTATAATATGAATAAAACTAAATATGTAAACTTTTTTTCACTTATAAAATATCGATAAAATTTTTTGTTTTACAATATTTTGTTAATGCTTTATATTTATAAATGCAGGGAATTATTGTTTTATTTGCGATATATCTGTAAATCCAATGAATTCCAGTGTTTTTGTTTGTGTTTACAATCAATCATATGAGGAGATGAAGGGATGGTTTAAATTTTAAATGCCATAACATTTCCATTATTATAATCTTTGAGTGCAATTCAACTGATCGTAGAATCAGTTTCTAAAAGCTTTCAATTATTTGATGCCTTCTTTCAAAAGCACATAAATTCCAATACTTTTCTGCTTTTCTTTTCTCTCGCTTTCACTCAAAGAAGACTTGATTTCAAAATATTTGGAGAAAAGAAAAAAGAGATTTACGAACGAAGAGAAGACCAGAATTCTTGAGGTGAATATCAATAAATATTTTGAATCTTTAAATCATTTTTACTTTTTCCAAACAATTTTCACGTCGAATGTGAGAGTAATCGCTATGAAATAGATTGAATAAATAAATAGACTTTTAAAATATATGTAACTTTTGGGGAAAATGGTTACAAAAAGGATTATTCGCTTCAAAGGGCTTTCACTGATTCTCAAAAGTCGTTTTTTAGTCAATAATGTAAACCAATAATAATCTCAAGAGTTATTTAACATTGTTTTTACCATTAAATTTATTTAATGAATAAAATATTACTATAAATGTTAAATAATATGAAATAATAGAGGTAAGTTTAAATTAAAATTAAGTGCAATTTTAAGTAATTAAAAAAATATTAATATATTTAATATAAAATTAAATTAGTTTCAAATCCATTGGGAAACTATTGTATATTATGGGACATCTATTATTCTATTAGAATGGGTTTTTTGAATCATTTATACAATGAAAACAAAACTAAAAAAGTAAAAACATTTTTTCTTGTGTTTAGACATCCATTTGATGGCATCGAATAAATTGTATTCAATTCTCAACTGAATATCTGTTGAAATATGATTATGTCGTGGACTTAAATTTTACGATATAATAAATGTTTGCATATTTGTGTTTAAGAATAATAAAATTTTAGTATATTTATGGAGAGAGAGAGAGAGAGAGAGAGAGAGAGACTCATGTATTACTGAAAGACAATTTATGCAAAAGTATTTTTTAAATCTATGAATGCATTTAGAATTGACAGCAAAACCTTGTTTCTGAAAGACTTATGAAATACTCACTGAATAGTGAATTATTGTTATATTCGGTATTTATAGACATTATATTTAGTATTTGTGTTTTAAAACATTGGATCAATTGTCTAACAATTTTGTGTCGTAAAATAATGTGTAAAATGCTTTCAAATATAATCCTAAACTCAAGCGAACGACAATTTTTGAAACAAGACATTTGAAAAATAAAATGAAAATCAAATTCATTTTTTATAACAAAATGGTTTCGCAACTTATATTTCATTCATTTCTATATGAATTCATTTTATTTATTAATCTAATTATGAATATTTAACACAAAAGCCATTCTTCAAAAGCAGTATGACTTTATTTAATACAAATTTAATTTAAATTCAGAGCAATTGTGATTCTCGGAGGAGAAGATAGTATTTACTTCATATATCAATGCAAACCTTACATTGCATTTAAAGCATAAGTTGCCAAACAATACAAGAAATGTTTTCAAAGAATTTAAAACTATTTAATACATTTATCTTTTATTATACAGTCTATGAAAATATAATTAATTTAGTAAACTTTTAATTTCACTTTTAAATCATTAATAATCCAAAAGTACTCAAAGAGAAAATATATTGTTTTAAAAGATTAATTATTTGTACGAAAAAATGACGGTCGAGTGTCACAAATGATGTCTTTAGTAATATTTTTATGACAAATACATGTGACATAATATGATATAAATACACGAATATATAAATACATAAATATATAAATACATGTGACATAATTGCATGCAATCATATGTTAAGAAGAATTCTACTCAAAATTTAAATATTTTTAAATCAATAATTATTATTATACAAAAATATTGTTAATAATTGGGCAGTTACGCTATACTGTGTTTAAAACCCAATGACCAAGCTATAATCTGATTTAAAATGAGTTTAAATTAAATGAATTTTGAGTAACTTTGTTTAACTTACAATGTCAATTAACAATGTTAATTAAATTAAATAATAATATACAATCATATAATTTATGTAAATTTGGGTTAAACCGAGTTTTGGTGCATTTGGGACACAAATACTGCTGACATAAACCTTAAAGCTCTACCGCTTACAAGTGGTTAACCATATGATTACATTCCGCTATAAGCAGTAAATACTTTCAGTTCATCGATCATAATATAATAATTTAACATAAAATAATTGAACTGACCGTAAATAATTAAAATATCTTTTAAGATTAACAGTTTCTTTTGGCTTTTTATTTAATGATTTTTGTTTTAAAACAATAGTATTTTGTATTAAATTAAATGCGTTTAGTTTACAAACGTATGGGTATTGTAGTTATCCATTACAATGTCAATACAATGGCTCTGTTTTTCTGTATTGATTAACCATTTTTACTGTTTATTTCGCTAATGTCTTGAAAACAGAACCGATATTAATGCTTGAATTGAATCAAAAGTCGATTAAAATTTCATTTTCGTCAAAATCTGATGTCAAGTATTTAACGAAATGATGGATTGGCTGACAATCATTCAACTAATTATTGTATTTAATGTCAAACTCCATATACAATCCAAATATATCAATAAAATGTAATAAATTATGATAAAAATAAATCCCTAAATAAAAATCATTCATTATTTGAAACACAATTTTTCAATGCATTACATATGGACACTATGTTTGGACTAATAAATGTGATATTTATGAAGTAATATAAGTAGAATAACGTGTATTTATATCTATCTTAATAATAATCTATATTATTCTTAATGTTGACAAATCTTTAACTAACTGCTGGTCTTTCGGCAAAAGTTATTTATATCTGTTTAACACGAGTCAAAGCAAAACACCTTTTGAAGCATATTTGTGTCGTACAACTCAATAGTGGTCTCCCTTTCCATCCACTCAGACATACCTTCACTCCAAATGAGTTATCATTTTCCTCAAAGTTTTTTCGTAATATAGTTTGCATTCATTAAATCAAAGTCAGTCTTAAGTTAAGACTTAACTTATAATGAATTAGTTTTGCTGTCATTTGTTTAAGGCATCAACTTTTCAATTGCATTTAAATTATTTATTATATGTTTGTTTTAAATAAATTAAAATAATATTGTACTTATTAATTGTGATTTTTTAATAGATTTAATAAAATAAATAACAAAATCAATTAATATAATACTAGTTTTAATTCAAAATATAAACTATGTATAATAATATTGTCTAATAAATTGTAATACAAATATTGCACAAAACATAATACAAGTAAAGATAAATTTATAAAAATAAATAACAGTTAAAAAACATAATTAAAATTTATCACACATTTAATTTTCTATAATTTAATTATAATAGATTAATATGAGATGTTATATAAATATTATACATATTTTATACAATATTATACTAAAATTCTTGCATAGTTTACGATTGCATTCAATGTCTAGTAGTAAAAGCTAATAAATAATTAAACGCTTATAAAAAATTAAATACAAATAAAATTATAAAATCATAAATAATTAACAAAAGTTTATATTAATAATGAACTAAACATTTGTATGGATTCTGATGTCATAATCAGTGGTGAAAATCAGATGCAATTCTTGTCACAGATTCTGTCACAGAATGCATACAACGAGTGGTTGTCTGCCATCTGTTGTCACACTTTTTGCGCACATTTTGGACGCATTTTTTGACAACAAATTCACGATTTGTTTATTGTTTTTGATTTCATTTTACACTTTATTATCGCTTTTCAGACAAATTATGTCCAAAAGTGTGTCCAACAAGTGGTCAGACGTTTGGATCAAACCATCGTTTGACACATCAATGGCTCCGAAGGCTAAGAAACGACAGTTTAGTGAAGACACGGCCGAAGACACGACCACTACTACACCCGACAGTCAGTCAGCGGATCCGTTGGACTCATTGGTGGCCAACGATAGCAAAGAGTTGGCCATCAGTTCCGCGAAATGCAAACAATTGAGTCAATGGTTTAGCAATCATTTCAGACACGATTCAAACGGATCCAAGTTTTTGCTGCTCAACGGACCGACCGGAACAGGTATTACACAGTCTTCTGTCATTCAATGGCATTCTTCCACATGTCTGCTGTCATTACAGGCAAAACCACATCATTGCAAGTATTGGCCAAAGAGTTTTCGGTGGAAGTGATTGAATACAAGACTTACAGCCAATGGTTTGACACCGTTTTGGACGAAGAGATGAACGAAAGACGAGAAAATGTGTTAAAACTTGAGAATCAGATCCAAGACTTCAAACACTTTATCGACGTTTCGGTTCGATATGCCGGAAGTCGACTGTCTTTTGATGACCAAACGGGAGCGCCAGTGACTTCGGCTCCAAACGGATCTCGAAATCGTCTTATTCTGATCGAAGAGTTTCCAAATGCTTTTTATTTAAAACCGGAAGCGCTTCACAAAGAACTTAGATTTTATAGCAAACATTTTGGCCATCGATTGATTCCAATAGTGTTCATCATTTCGGAGACAACTAATGGACACTCAGATGAATATAAATTACTGCCGAAAGCCCTGCAAATGGAGCTCCAAATGAGTGTCATATCTTTTAAACCAATTACTGATAATTCTTTACATAAAGTTATTAAGAAATTCACAGATAATAAGTTGTCGAGGAATGAGATGCAGAAACTGGTCGACAGTTCGTCCGGTGATGTGAGGAATGCCGTAAATAATATACAATTAGTTTACAGACATTTAAATACCGGTAATAATAAATGTGATAAAAAGAGTAGAAAAATACCAAAAGTAGATACAATGGACTCCATGTGTGACCATATATTAAGGGATCCGTCGCTGACCATCACTCACGCCGTCGGAAAAGTTCTTTACGCCAAACGTCAGTCAGATATTCAGTCAAACCAGTCCTCAAATGTGAGTACTAGTGATGTTAGAGTGGATTCTGACTACGAATTGCCGCCACATTTGAGTGCTTTTCGACGGATACCACTCATGGATAGTCCCCAAAGTATTGCCGATAAGATTGTTGTGTCGAGCGATACGTTCAACGGATGGCTGCATCAGAATTACGTCGACTTTTGCGATAGTCTCGAAAGCGCCCAAAACTGTATTCAATGGTTGTCTCAATCGGACGCCTTCTTCACCGGTGAACACCATTTCAATGAAAAGAGTGTCTTTGAGTCATACCAGTCGTCGCTCGCCATCGGAGGCCTTATGTTTCACTTACCGGCGAGTAATCGACAGATGAGTGACGCGGAAGTGATGTCTGACGGGCGGGAAAGGAGACCACCGAAGCGGACGTTCAAACCTTTCGATAAACCGCAAACTCAAGCCGTCAATCGTTGGGCGGATTCAATGAAACGTCAAATCAGTGAAACGGTGTGTAAATGCGATCCGTTTTCACGCGTTAACAGTATTGTCTTGGATTTGATGCCATTCTTGTCACAAATGCCACAACATTTGCGTCTAAAAGACGAGTATTTCAAATACCTTTTGTCAAAAATTGTGAGCTTTGATGGCAATTGTGATGACAAGCAATTCAATGAACGCGAACTGTGTTTGGCTTTCTCTCACTCTTCAGTCAATCGCGAGTCGGAATCAACGAATCATACGATTATTAAAACACAAATCACTGACAAAAATGAAAACAATTGTAATTTTGACGCCAATGACGAAGAAGACTATACTATAGAAGACTCTGATTGCGATTGAATATCGGATTTAAAAGCAATTTTATTGACTTATTATACGGCTTTTATTTTTATTTACAGGACTTTTATTAAAATTTATAATAATATGAATAAAAAAGAAATAAATTTAATAAAATTCTCCATAAAAGCAATGTTTTGTAAAAAACGTTATTAAATCTGTGTTTTTTGCCATAAAATATAATATGTTTTGGAAATCAATAATAATTTGCGAATATCTGTCAAAACCAGGACTGAAATGTGTTGTAGAGGTTGTGGCAGACATTCATTGAATAGTGTCTCGCATTAAATATTTGAAGCAAACATTTATATAATGTACAAAAATATAGTGTATTTATTAAATCGCTTTCAAAATAAATGTCAGTAAAAAGTGAATTCAATGCAATAAAATGTTTATTAGATATTGAGTTAAGTTTTAAAATAAATGTCAATTTTGAGATAATAAGACACTCTTTGTGGAAAATTGAAGCTTTTATGAGATTTTGTGAAAAAATCAATTATTGAATGACTTAACAAAATGAATATTTTGTATATAAAATTTTAATGCATACGAAACCCAATTAGGATTAATTGTTAAGCATTTAAATCCATATTTGATTTATTTGTGCACAGATTTTGCATCCATTTGTTGTTTTTCAACAAATTTAATGATAAAAGTCTACTTAAAGTAAAAGATAGCTTTTATTCTTGTTGTAAAATGCTTTGAGTTTTGAAAAAATAGTTCATTGAAGTGTAAAATGCAATTTGAATACAAACTCATCTCTCACTCGAGAATCCAATTCATTCAACCGAATGCCAGCTATTAATGCATTTCTTAATTTCTCTCAACAAAAATCAATAGAAATGAATGCAAACTAAAAACCAATTTAATTATAATGTCTATAAAGGTATAACTCCCATACCATCGCCTCCCATACCATTTCCACCCATACCATTTCCACCCATACCATTGCCACCCATACCATTTCTCCCATACCATAACTCCCATACCATATCCACCCAAACCATATCCACCCAAACCAATGCCCAAACCTAATGGTCAAACTCTATGGTAAACAATACCAAGAATAGGGTCACTGATTGTCCACACATTGCCTCTATTTTTGTCACCACTTTTCACATCTCCAGACATCTGTGAAAACCACTTTCACATGAATTTCAAGTCTTAACCTTAATTTCAAACACTATGTTCAACACAAACACTACCGACAGATACCATAAATATATTGTGCACACAATACACACCACACCATACATACAGACACCGCATATGTGCCCAACATTGGGGTCAATCTGACCCCAACTTTATAACCCATTTTTGACTATTTAAGTCACATACAAACCCAACACTTTATGCATTATTATAGCCATTGTATACACAGTATATCCTTCGCACACGTCCTGTGTGTCAAACATTCAATTGTTTTATGCCTTATATTTTCAATTGTTTTTTCCAATCATTCATTGCTTAATGAATTTTATGTATTATTATATATTTTGTGATCACATTAATAAAATAAAGTCATTTCCAAAGACAACCACTCGACTGCGCCTTTCATTCACTAATTTAGTGACCAAACATTCAAAACCTCTTACAAGTCGGCAGCGATTACTATCTGCCAAACCCACAGCCATATCCACTACATCCGCCACCACTGCAAACCTCATCTCAATAGTGCTCACAATTATAATAATACTTATTCTGTGCGCCGAAGCCGTGTACACCATATTCATCCTCATAAGCATCAGAGCGTTAGCCAAAGCGCTCACACCTATAGTCGCCGCCAAAGTAGCCGAAGAAGCAGCCAATCGTGTTGTGTTAACCCTTCTGTCCAACGCCGGACTCCTGCCGCCCAACATAACCGCTCTATCACTACTTTAAGTGCAAAACATTTGTAAAACTTTTGTGCAAACATTTGTGCAAACATTAACTCCGTGTTCAACACATCCAACTTATCCCGAGGACCACTCGGACACCACATCAGCACTCGAGGACCACTCGGACAGCACAACCCATCCCAACCTCATCCGCACCACTCCAGCCATGGGACGCCGCACTCGTCGCAACCGCTCCACAACTCCGGACCCCACGTCGGCACCGGAACCCTCATCTGCATCGATGGCCACCCAAACGGACGACACCTCCGACACCGAGACGACCTGTTCTTCATCGCCGCGGACATCAGATTGTAAGCCTCAGCCATACCTAGAGTTTCACATAACTGTAAAATCCTATCCCAATATACGGTTCTCTATAAACCAAACTCATTGTAAGCCAAACACTACTAATAGTGATGGTAAACCTACGGGACTTAAAGGCCAACCTATGGCTAAACGCAAACCTCCGACTCCTTGTCGTATCTGCGAAAACCTCGGCTTCAAAGACCGCTACCACTGGTCTAATGATTGCCACAATAAGAGTAAACCCAAACCCAATGGCACCACAAGTGTTAAGTCTGTTAACACAATGCAAACCCATTCCTCCCAATCAATGCCTGACAATGACATCTCAGCCATTGATTTAAACTAATACCGAGATCTAAATTTCATCCATTGATTACTTTATTCACTATAGTTAATAACACTATAACTCATGCCGTCTTCGACACCGGAGCAAACATTTCGATAATAAGTTATTAATTATTCTTAAAATTAAAGTTAATAAATAATTCAAACATTAAGTTAAAAGTACTTACAATCAGTAATCAATGTGAATGTTTAGGTCTCGCCTCAGTCTCTCTCAAAATTGGCAACATTTCTCAAAAATGTGATTTATTTGTCTTGAATAAATCAAACCATAACTTTCTAATAGGATTAGACATAATCTGTAAACTTAATCTCAAAATGAATGAGAATTTTCAAGTTTTTCAACCATTCATTAAAAATAATGCCCACAAATGTGAGGAAATACTCACAAATTACTCAAACAATAACACATTAACTCAATATAGTTTTTGTGAAACAAATGAATTACATTCCCAACTAAATCCACATGTGCTAGCCTCACAAACCCAACTCATTATAAGTAATGAGCTAAATATTAGCCAACAAAATGATTTAAATGCCATTTTAAATCATTTTAACCACATTTTCTCAAGAGATAAGTACGATATCGGGTGTATAACTTCCGAGTACTGTACTATAGATCTCATTAACAAAATACCCATCAATCTAAAGGCCTATCGGTGCTCACCGGTAGACCACCACAGCATTGATCTTAACTAAGCTAAAGACCAAAACAATTACCACTGATTATAATGTTAGCACCAGCTAATGGTATTTCAATTAATGCTTTCTTAAATACCTGATCAACATTTAAGTGAGTATTTAGAAACCATTTCATAACTTTGAAACTCTTAATAATCAGTAAATTAAACCCTAGTTAAAAAAACAAATTTAATGTAATTGCTTATGTCTCGCTTCAGTTCCTCTCAACATAAACTCAAAAATGCAGTTTATATGCCATTCATAACTCTAAAACTACGGTTTACTCATAGGATTAGCTTTAATCCCATAAATACTAATTCAAACTCAAATTGAATAAAACATTTCCCATTTATCAACTCCTCGTTGAAAATAATGCCAATGAAAGTGATAAAAATCTCACAAATAATNCCATAAATACTAATTCAAACTCAAATTGAATAAAACATTTCCCATTTATCAACTCCTCGTTGAAAATAATGCCAATGAAAGTGATAAAAATCTCACAAATAATCTACAAGTAGATACCCATTAACCTCATAGCCTACCGGTGCTCACCGGCGGATCAAACAATTGATCCATAACAAAAACACACCAATGATAGTGCCTACCGGTGCTCACCGGGCTATCATAACAAAAAAACCCCATACACCTATTAATAGCAAGTTAATAGCAATTAATGATTAGCCTAAACAAAATTTCATTTAAAAAAAACTTTGTCTTAAAGTTTATACCCAATGCCTGCAAACAATTGGCGCCTCTCTATCTGCTCCTCAAAAAGGACACACCATTCAAATGGAGTGATGAATGCGATAATGCCTTCACTTCAGTTAAGACATACCTCATATCTAAGCCCGTGCTCTGCATATATAATCCCTCCAAAGAGTGCCTACTCTATACCGATGCCTCCCGAATTGGTACCAGGGCTGTCCTGAAACAGGTACAGTCCGACAGCAAAGCACATCCCATAGCCTATTATAATTAATAATAAATAAATTATTTTGTGAGTGAACTCGAATGCCTGGCCATAATCCAAGCCATTGATTATTGGCACCACTATCTCTACGGCAGAAAGTTTGTCGTGTTTTCCGACCACAATAGCCTAAAGTGGTTGAAAACTATCAAAAAACCTAACTCTCGACTATTCAATTGGTCCCTAAGACTAAGTCAATACGATTTTGACATTAAATACATTCCGGGCACAAAAAATTGCGAATCGGATGCCTTATCCGAAACCCTGTACTCAATGCCAGCCCAACCCATGAATACATCAAGTATTCAAACCTATTAACAATCAATGAAATCATTGAAAGCCAAAAGCCTTATCTCAACAAAATCCCACAAAACCTCATATTAAACAATGACTTAATTGTTAAACAAAAACAAGACATAAAACGGATCTATATTCCCGATCCTCTCATCCCTAAACTCCTAAATGAATGCCACAAAAATTATGGTCATTTAAGCACAAAACAAATGCTATCTCTCATATCAAATGCCTATCATTTCCCTAATATGTCTCAAATCATAAGCAATTATGTAAAACAATGCAAAGTCTGTCAAACAAATAAAATCAATAGACATAAAAAATATGGTTCATTGTCTCAATTAAGTCCGGCTAAAAAAGCCGTTTGAGATCATATCTATTGACACTGTTGGCGGCCTAAGTGGCTATAACTCCGCCAAACAGTGCATTCATGTTCATATCTCAAAGCGAAGGAATTGCCCCAAACCAAGCCATAAAATGGGGGGGATATAAAGGTATAACTCCCATACCATCGCCTCCCATACCATTTCCACCCATACCATTTCCACCCATACCATTGCCACCCATACCATTTCTCCCATACCATAACTCCCATACCATATCCACCCAAACCA